TTTGTTATCTTTTTATTCTAGCATTGTTGAGGCAGTTGATAGTGGTAAGGATTGCGATGTTGTATACCTTGACTTTAGCAAAGCTTTTGATACAGTGCCACATGAAAGACTGATTAAAAAAATAGAGTCTCATGGTATTGGGGGTGCTATATTAAGCTGGATTAGGGCATGGCTATACCAAAGGAAACAGAGAGTTAGTATAAATGGAATCAAGTCAGAGTGGGAAAATGTTGTAAGTGGAGTGCCTCAAGGCTCTGTCCTGGGACCTCTGTTGTTTATAATATATATAAATGATTTAGATTCAGGTTTGAGTAGCAACATTTGCAAATTTGCCGATGATACGAAAATCGGTAGGGAAATTAATTCGGAGGAGGACTCACTATCACTTCAAGTTGATCTAGATAGGGTTTTGAAATGGTCAAAGGATTGGCAGATGCAGTTTAATGCTGATAAATGTAAAGTTCTGAGGTTAGGTAATGATGATAGAGTTACAAGATACGAGCTAGATGGTGTTGTGATTGCGAAGTCGGATTGCGAAAGGGATCTGGGAGTTATGATTAGTAAGAATTTAAAACAAAAGGATCAATGCATAAATGTTCGTAATAAGGCAAATCGGACACTTGGATTTATTAATCGCAGCGTTAGTAACAAGACACCTGGTGTGGTTCTCAAGCTATATCTTGCTCTAGTTAGGCCCCATTTAGATTATGCAGTTCAGTTTTGGTCGCCATATTATAGAATGGATATAAATTCACTTGAACGTGTCCAGCGTAGGATGACTAAGTTAATTCCCCAAATTAGAAATCTTTCATATGAAGAAAGATTAACAAAGCTTAAGTTGCATTCACTGGAAAGGCGAAGAGTTAGGGGTGACATGATAGAGGTTTACAAGTGGATGAATGGACATAACCGGGGGGATATTAATAGGGTATTAAAAGTATCAACACAGGACAGAACACGAAACAATGGATATAAATTGGATAAGTTTAGATTTAGGAAAGACTTGGGTAAATACTGGTTCAGTAACAGGGTTGTTGATTTGTGGAACCAATTGCCGCGTAACATTGTGGAGGTGGGGTCCCTCGATTGTTTCAAGCACGGGTTGGACAAGTATATGAGTGGGATTGGGTGGTTATAGAATAGGAGCTGCCTCGTATGGGCCAATAGGCCTTCTGCAGTTACCTTTGTTCTTATGTTCTTATGTCTTCAAGTGCGAGAACAGGTTGCATGATCATTCAGTGGCATATAAATGAGCAATTAATAATTTAATTGACGAATAAGCCCCCATACCCACCATAGAGCCACAATTAGAGGATAGGACACCTGACAAGACGGGCCGCCGCCCCCCCCACCCCCCAGGGATGCAGCGTGAGTATACGCCCCACAACCACCACCTTAAGAACTGTCAGAGAACGTGGAGATCGGGTTTAGCAACAAATGCAAGGATTGACAATAAAAGCGTTCCCTCGCTCAAAACATCCCATACCACAGTTCTACAGATGAGTGTGCCTCCCCAAACACCCGGGCGTCAAAACAGAAGATGTCCGAAAGAATAATAAAAAATGGCAAAAAGTCGGCTGGAAATGACAACTAGAAAGGAGAAGAGGAGGAAAAATGAAACATAAGGAAGAGGAAAGAGCAGCCAGCATAAGTAATGAAGATAGCAGCAGGAGCATAAGGCTTCAAAAGGACCGAGGACTGTTCCATGAAGCATCACACCCCGGAAGTCGCCCACCAAGCCCCCTCACGACGACAATGGGCTGGAAAGGGAGGGGGGCAATTTCTGGGTAGAATATCCATCAAAAGAATATCTTTCATTATTCATGAGTGTTGCAGAATAATCACAAAAATATGTGATTCAGTTATGCGTAAGTATGAACTAGGAAAATGAAGCGAAAGTTCTGAACATTTTCGTGTTTCAACATATTATTAAAGAATTACAGTAATTTTGCTCGATATGTTGAATGACATTCCTGTATTTCCTTGATGTGTTGAAACACAAAAACATTCGGAACTTTGTTTAATTTTCCTAGTGGACACTTGCACATTCATGTGTATGAAGTAGTTACATAGCTCAAAGTACCCCCATACCATTTGGTCTGAAATCATTGACAACAGAGCAATCACAGATAGCACTGGAGAGTATGTCCCAGCTCTTGTTCACATAGTTTACAATTGGAATGTTCACCACAGGGGGTTTCATTACCAGCAGGCTCCTCCAATTTAAAGCGCCCCAGGCTCCCTCAAGGTTAAAAGCTATCAAGTTCCATTCTTCATAATTCAGTCACAGTTCATTAGTGAATTTACATAATTAAATTCTCTAGTGTTTTTCATCTAAATTACATACATGAAACCACCACTATTTAAGGTTTAATATTTATTTGCTAGGAATATATGTCCATTATAGAGAATTAGAAGTAATATGTACAATTGAATTAATATAATGTGTTGCATCTATGACAAAATATTATGGCAGGAAGTAGGATTAGTCTCATCATGTCATAACTCCCCAGAAATGTGCATTACCCACCATACCATGATGGATTTAAAGTACCTCAACCAATCTACTAGGTTGAGTTTTACTAGGCTTATTTGGAGTTTGGAAGGCATGCACTGTCATAACATTTTCTCAAAGATGTAATATGGTTTCATGATAGTATGAACAGAGGACAGTTTGTATTTATACAGTTGTATCTCAGTAAAGCTAATTAAAATATATATTTATTCATAAAAAGTGGAATCTGTATATTAATTATTAAATTATCAATGAACAGAGAAGGGATCCTCCAAGCTGACATGCTAGATAACATTTGAAGTGACAATATCTGGAGTACAGGTTATAGAGAGAATATAAAATAAAAGTTGAAAATTATATTGATTGTTTCCTCAACCTAATTCACATACCTCAGAAGTACTACAAAATTCTATGTACAAATACTAATACATTTTCCTGGCACATTAGTTCTGGCATTAACCAAATATATTCATGTTTGATCATTATTATTATTATGAATTATGCTATATTATTTATTCTCAAGCCAACTATGCCATTTTAACAGTCAAGAGTAGAGGACACACAGCAGTCTATAAACACACTCCACAGTTAAAAAAAAAAAAAATTCTTGTCTACCAATGCTTGACTCTCCAACATCTAGTATAATGGTGGCTCAGTTTGTTTCCTAGATTTAGATTCACGAAGCGCCATGTATTTCTTTTTACGTCACTGTGTTATGAAGATTCCCAAGTACTCTGTCAGAAGACCCATATGCTCCTCTCACCAAGGTGTTTTGACAAGAGTTACTTGGTGGATCACCTGCTTCTCAACAGAGGTCACAGTTACTTTTCATTTGACCAATCAGTGACTATCATTGTTCATTTTAAATGAACAAATCTACAAGGGCCATGATGAGGGTTCGAATCTACGTCCAAGAGGAGCCCAGACGTGTTTTAATCGACTGTGCCACGACATGGTGAAAGAATTGCAACCGGGAGTTCTACTGTCCTCACACGAATCCTGCAGTCTCTCCGAGACACAAACCAAGGTTTTACACAATTCCCCCATGCACTCGGGCTCTGTTAAAAAGCTGTTCTATCTCTTTGCCCTTACTTCATTACACACAGAAATCATAATAGCGTGATGCATCATATGAACAAATCCACAAGGGCCGTGATGAGAGTTCGAACCTACATCTGAGAGGACGTAGTTTGGTGCATCACACTATTGTGATCCAGGAGGAACACTTGTGGCCACAGATAGGAAAGGAGCAGAAGAATGGAGATGATACAGGTGTCAGGGTTTAAAGTTCAAAAACGGTTTTGGAACGCAGGAAGGGAAGAAGGATGGGGAAGGAAGAGTAGTACAATGCAACGCATGAGCATAAATAATGGGAGAGAGGGAGTCAAGAGAGCAGACCTGGTGCCAAGCCTTGGGGAAAGATATACAATCATGGTGCTTCAAGGTAAGGATGGCCTTTTTGAACTTATAATGGATGCACGTACAAGAAAAGACAGGAGGGGCCTCACTACAGTTAATGCAGCAAGCTTGGGAAGAAGAGGTGCTTACAGCTTGCGCATGATAATTTCTAGGGTTACTACACAAGGGGCAAAGAAATATCTTGCTGATGCACCTGAAAGAATCATGACCAAATTTCCAACACCTATTGCAGAGGCATGGAGAAAAGATGTATTCCTGAATGAAGCATCTGGCACTGGCAAGAATGACAAGACAAGGGTTCTACTATCAAAAGTGATCTTAACTATAGGAAGGGGTTGATCATGACGACCACAAGGACGACGATAGAAGGAATAAATTTGGAGGATAGAAAAGCCCTGGACTTTGAGGAAACATTTATTGCCCTCATGGCAATCCGAGGTTTTTATCTCTAGTTGCATCATGGCGTTAAACAACAGTGCCAATGCTGGTGGCATTCAATCCCCCCCCCCTTTTTTTTTTTTAACCTGAACCAAGGTCTCACCAATGCAGAACAAAGTAGCTAGGCAGGTGGTCGCCTCCTGGGAAGGGGCCACAACTACACATGTCTGGGTGGCATTAAAAGTAACCTGGGAATCGAGTCAACTAGGTTTTATGGTTGTGCACATCATCACGGTGGGTATGTTCATCGTGACGAAGATCAAAATACTTTTGGCCACATAGCAGGGCCAAACACATCCTGGAACGTAACAGTTATAGCAGGGAGCACATGTGCAGGATAGCAACTGTACTTCACGGGAAATGTGGTTCAGCACTGTGCTTCACGGGAAGGGTGGTTCAGCACTGTGCTTCACGGGAAGGGTGGTTCAGCACTGTACTTCAAGGGAAGGGTGGTTCAGCACTGTGCTTCAAGGAAAGAGTGGTTCAGCACTGTTTCAGGGGTAGTGTGGTTCAGCACTGTGCTTTGAGAACTTACTGTACCGTCCCAATTTTAATTAATTAATTAATCCACAATTATCTTTCAGAAATATTGTTCACTTGCAAGGTATTGAGAGTGAGAGATGCTTGATGACAATCTGGGTATTCTAATATGGTTAAAATACAATTCCTGCAAAGTATCCTACTAACTTCTTTCTACGTAATATAATATAAACTATGACAAAACGGTACATGTTGCATATTTAATTTCGGAGGAAAAATATACATCACTTTCCCTACACACACAGTCTGTTCCACCAGCCAGTATTGTCTGGTAGGTCACTTCACATAAGTGGCTCAACATAGTTTCCTGGGAAGAGGCCTGTCACTCCATTCATGACACCCTCCCACCACCCATCATCATTCTTCTTGAGCACGTAGATGACAGCATTCTCCGAGAATGTGAGTTCGTCTTCTTTGTCGGCCGAATAGTCATACACGGCAATCACTGAAATATTATCAAAATTAAATTAAGGTGATAAAATTAACGAACAGTACATCTGCATTCAAACAAACGCACCTCTTTAAAATTCCAGCATGGACCAAACAAATTGTATTCGGTACAAATTATTCAGTGGAACATACAAATATTTGATTAAGTGAAGATTGTTTGTCCAAGCTGTCGCCAAGGCCGAATGTCAGAGGCAGCTGTATTATCGTCAATGATTCAACTTCTCAAAGTGTAAACTATTGTACAGTGAACAAATCAGTGTAGAGTACAGTACAGTGTTTAAGAACTTTCAATGAAACAAATACAACAAAATATTTTACAAATTATATTATAAAATACCAATATTTAAAAAACCAGCATTGAATGTAATGAAATGCCATTTTCTGAGTGAGCCCCAGAGGCTCCCTGAAGCTATCATACCACTAAGTGTCATCAGTTGCAGAATTATTTATACCTACTGGGAACCAGGAGCCAGAACCTGGTCCCCTTCCTCCTAGATGCAAACCCCGAAAACTTAAGAGCTACCCGAAGCGACCAGCACCAAAGAGCTATGGACCGAAGGGACCCAACCCCCCCAGTCAAGACAATGACCCATGGAGGAACAGTCTGATTGGAGCCAGATCACAAAGCCCTGAGGAATCTCAGGGTCAGGCTCTTCTGTAATACTATCATGGCTAATAATACTAGTTACATATATATTTTAATATTATTAGGCAATGCAGTGGTCACAAGCTGAACAGCAGTGCTGTGAGCTCATGCTGCATGTGCTAACTTTGGTTGCTCACTCAGTACCAAGAATCTCACACCTGGGAATGTTGCCCATGATTTAAAAAAAAACGGCGTCTGTTTACAAGAGCCCTGAGGAAGCTGGTGTGAACCCCATATAGCTGCAGGAGTTTTGAATGCTATGCTATACCTATGAGCACCCAGAGGCACCTTGTGCACCACCGATCTAGCACCTCAAGGCACATTGTGCAGTACAGTGGTTAATGCCTGCCACACCACACCATACTGTGTACCAGACAAAGGGGAGGGCACCAATGCCCCTGGCTGGCTTGGTGAGCGCTAGTCACAAAGTCTCAACCAATGGCCGAGGCATCTGTGAAGACAGCGAGCGACATCTTCACTCTCTTCTTCGAGCGAGGGAGTGGGAAGGCGCTACCCGCCAAACACACACCGAAACTACGACGTTGGTACAACGTTCGAACAAGTTTTAACACTTCCTAACCAGTTATAACAACCAATATAGCAAATTGTAACAACGTTCTAATACGTCATAAACACGTTAAGCCAAGATGTAACAACTTTATTACAAGTTGTAACAAGCGGAAAATAGAGACAATTTCGGTTTGTGTTTCCAGGGTATGGCAATGAACCCCGAAAAACTCAAAGAGGAGACTGATGATGCAGCAACCAGCTCTAAGACACCAGAGTCTGCACCCAGTGATCATGGGTGGTGAAAGAGGGGCACCCTAAAAGTACCAGAACAGCTTCCAAGCCAAATCCTGTCCTGTAGGAAATCAAACGGGTAAAATTCAGACACTTGCACAACTGCTCGAGCAATTGCCGAGACACACGGATCCCCCTCAACACCAACAGATAGTAGGACTGCAGCATGAGCAAGGCCACAGGAGGTAGGGAAAGCAATGCCAACCGAGAATCCCAAAGGAGGCCTAACCAGGTCCAAACCCAAGATAGAACCAATTTGGACTTCCGCCAGTTCACCAGAACTCGAATCTGGCAAGCTGAGAAAGAACCAGATCCCTGGCTAGCAGACAGGCAGACTGGCTTGGAGCCTAAGCCAGCCAATCGTTGAGATAGGCCAACACCTGAAGACCTAACAAATGAGGCCGGGTACCCGATTCAGCCCATTGGGAGAGCCTGAAAGCAATAAGCCAGTCGCCCCGCAATGAAACCTAACCAATCCCTAAATCCTGAATGGATAGGGACGTGCCAATAAGCATTCTTACGGTCCAGGGAAATCATCCAAGAGCCCAAGTGAACGAGCTGGAACTGGGACAACGTAGGCATCCGAAAAGAGGGGCAAAGTATCAACCAGTTCAGACAGGAAAGATCCAAAATGTACTGAAGAAATTAGGTCTTTTCGACCGTGCCCAAAAGCACCCGCACCGAGATGACTTGACAAAGGGAAGGAGAGGCCTGCCCCTGAAGCCCCCAATAGGGCATAAACGGCCCACTGCCAATGCAAGCGACAAGACACAACCCAAAACGCCTGTGAATCATGGGACCAAGTGCGAGCCAAGTGCTTTGACGGGAAGTCAGTCTTCCTAACAGCGAGCACTGCGCCAACCAGGTGAAGATAAGGAGGACGGGGGAAACATATCCGACCCGGCTGCCAGAACCATAGAGGACCCACCTCGACTAAAAGCAAGCAAAACCCTGCCCTACCCCTCCAGGAAGGCCAAGCCCTATCCCTCCGGGAAAGCCAAGACTGATCTCCTCGGAACATACAGCAGATCAAACAGGACAGCAACTCACTGAGGCAGCCGACAAGTTTGGTAAAGGGAAATTTATTATATTCCATTTTATTTTAATTGATTATAAATTATAATTAAATTTTAAAATAAATGGACTATGATTTATGTTTAAAATTTTAGAGCAGTGGACTGTATACTGTTAACTCCTCACAAATATATCCCACAAACTTTGGGGGTTTCAATTTATCAATGTATTAGGCTATAGCAAATTAATAAATTCTCATTAATTAAATTACAATAGATTATTTAATTATGATAGATGAAATTAATTTGCTCCATCCTGAAAAGATCTTATAGGACAGCTTAGCTGTTCTATTGAATAGATGCTCATAATAGCAGTGACCCAGACGCGAAGTGAACACACAACAATGGTGTCTCCTTTCAGATGAACAGCAAGTGTATTCTTCTCATCTGTAGCACAATATTCCTGCCAACGAGTTACAATATAAACACCATCTTAAATGTTATACACTTAATTCCAATGTGAATGGATTAAGTCAAACTGAAATCAAAATTAATTGATATTATATTAAGAGATAGGGCTCATCCTTGGTTATTATTAGGCATACTTCATAACCAGGGCAGTTAAACATTAATATATTGAGCTCAACAATTAATTATACTGTACCAGAACGATAGCCTTCCCAGCAGTTGACACTGTTGTTGACATTGTTAATTAAGGCTGCTTATGGCACGATGATTTACCTCATCAACCAGGCTGTGACTCATACGCCAGGTTGCGAGCAGCCGCGTCCAACAGCCTGGTTGACCAGTCCAGCAATGAGGTGATCTGGTCGATGACCGGGCCGCGGGGTCGCTAAGCCCCGAAATCACCTCAAGGTATGATTACTTGGAATATAATGAATATGCACGAAGTCAGCCAACACGTCTGCTCAGCGCCCTGGTCAAGATGGCCATCTCTCTTCCAGGGGATGAGATCCCTTTAGAATACTTTTAATTTACTTTATTATTGGGATTTATGCATTAAGTAGCCCTCAGACTACACACAATAATTACTTGCTAATACCTGTAGACGTTATCTTCAGGTTATCTCAAGATGATTTCGGGGCTTAGCGTCTTTCATTTTCATTTCTCCATAGTCACTAAGAGTTAAGATGGGCACCATATAACCTTTACATAATCCAGCTTTGGACTCACAAAGGTCGTGAACAATTTCTTTAATATTTCACCATCAATGTATTTAAAAGCAATTCCGAAATTGGAAAGCGTAGCATAGGCTCCTTGCACAATGTTATTTATGTACTCCTCAGGGTATAGTTTTCTGTTTAGAACCACCCCTAGATCTCTTACCGTATCAGAATTTTGTAAAGCCTTTTAACATAATTTGTAGGTTGTGTGTGGTTTATTTTCTCCTATTCCACATTCCATAACATGGCATTTATTCACATTAAATTTGATTTCCCAAGTGGTGCTCCATACACATTTCCTCCAGGTCTTCTTGAAGGGCATGACAATGATGTAAGCTTCTTATTTTCCTTAGTATCTTAGCATCACCAGCAAACATGTTCATATAATTCTGTATTCTTTCTGGTAGGTCATTTATGTAGACAATATATATTACCAGTGCATGAACTGAACCCTGAGATACTCCACTTGTGATATTTCTCCAGTCCGATACATTGCCTCTGATCACTGCCCTCATTTTTCTGTCAGAAAATTTTTCATCCATGTTAGAAGCCTCCCCCGTCACTCCTCCAGTATGTTCCAGAATATGTAGTGTAGCATGAGCCAGGTCTCAAGTGTGCTTGAAGTTGCATGTATTTAGGGTTTCCTTCCCTTGGAGCTCCTTAGCACTGCCCCTTGCACCGACAGTTCTCTTCTCTGTGTTCGGGGGAGTCGCTCCCTTAGAGGTCCTCCTTGCTTGGGTGGCAAGGAGGAATTGACTTGCCTTGGGTGAGTCAATAGTTCTTGGCTCCACTATCATTACCCAAACAAGTAGTTTAGCATGAATAGGTTTAGTGCCAATGGGAAAGGTGAGTGGAAGGCAGGAAACAAGACTGATCAAAATAATACACTAAAGTGAGATAAAGTAGTGCAGCAACATTGCCACTTGACCAATCAATGAAGCGCGCGTGCGCACACAATGTAGCCAAGCACACAGACGGTACCAATCTACATAACAGTGGAAGTTGAATTAAATGAAGGAATGAGAGCAATAAGTCTTACCTTTCTCAATGTAATGTGGAGGAACAGCAGGTGCGGTCGATCCAGTGATACGGTGTGGGGCTGGGGTGTCATCCACAACTACAACAAACCAACAAATTTTGATTGTTATTATTTTCACACACATTTGTGTGATTATGTATCATTACAATTAATACTCAAGAGAAAGAGGCACATCTCGAATGCCTATGATAATACTTGCTTTGTGCAAATGACATGCAAGTTTTATAAGGCAAACCAGCAATTAATGTACAGTGGTACCTTCGTTTACAATCATAATCCGTTCCCAGAGACACGTCGTCAACCAAAGATTAGTCAACCAAAATTAATTTTCCCATATAAAATAATGTAAATTAAATTAATCCATTCCACTCCCAAAAATTAGCTTAAAACCAGCATTGAATGAAATGAAATGCCATTTTCTGGGCGAGACCCAGAGACTCCCTGGAGCTATATCGGGCTGATGTGCATATAAAAACAAGCAAACAAGCATAATGTCACCACAACTGCCACGCATCCATCTGTGCAACCCCCCCCCTCCCCATCCCCGTCCTCCTCCCAGGGAGGAGAATGGGGGTCCTCCTTGCTTGGGACCACCCAAGCAAAGGGATCCCAGACCTCCACGTCGGCTGCTCTCCTCAGTTCAGAGGCTGAATATCAAAAATGAGAAAAAAACGCTGACCAGAGGGAGGGAGGGATGCTGGGGAGCCTCCGGGTCTCTCCCAGAAAATGGTATTTCATTACATTCAACGCTGGTTTTCTGTGGAGAGCCCCTTCTGCTTCCCAGAGCTACCTAACCAAAGATGAAGGAAAAAAGGGACTTACCCAGGAGGCGTCCGTCATTCGCTCCTCAACTCAAAGTCGAGACAACTGGTTGCAACCTGCAACCCAAGGCTAAACACGCCCGAGAGGGGCCAGAAACATTAACAAGGTACCGTGCAGCCAGGACTCTGTTCAACCTCCAAAAGCCCCGTGCCTGAATGTCAGCCCAGGACACTTTACCAAAAACAGCAGCCAAAACCACGAACTTACGAACGTCGTGGGCACAGGGATAGACTGCAGGCTGGCTGGACCAAATAATCCTGCAGACGATCTGGGAGACCCACGCCCTGGAACAGGAAGAAGGGAAACCGGGTCCACCCAAAGCGCATCCCCTGCCAGACGCCGTGGCACACAAATTTGCGACAAAGAGTCGCAACCGGACACAAAACATAATGCACCGCGCGGCCGAACCAACCATCAACAACCCAAGGACCCCTTCGAAAAGCAGCAGACTCATTCTACGCCAGAAAAGAAGGAGATTGAAAAGCAGCAGACTCATTCTTTGCCAGAAAAGAAGGAGACGGCTGCAAACGAACAAAACAACCATCAGGACCGACAGAGCAGAAATCCCAGTGCCGGAGGAGAGCATGAAGTGCTCCCTCCGACCCGACCCCCCAGAGGCCAATGCCAACAAGAATAGAGCCTTAGAAAACCAGTCCTGAACCGAGGGGGGGCCACCACAAACCGAGGACGAGAGAGTAGAGAGAGCACCCCGGTCCAACGACCAGGATGGCTCCGGCGGTGCACGAGCAGGCTCGCCGTCACCACAAACGGGTCACCACAACCTGGGTAAGGTGTGTGAACATGTGAGGAGCCAGATTCTAACCGAATGGAAGGCAATGAATGCAGTAAGCCTGTTGCCCCCAGGACAAAACCAAGCCAGTCCCTGAATCCCCAAATGAATCGGGACTTGCCAATACGCATCCTTAGAGGTCCAGAGACACCATCTAAGAACCCGTCGCCAAAAGCAGCCAGACCTGAGAGTGTGTGATCATCCAAAAGGAGTGGCAAAAGACCCAGGGATTCAGATGGGACAAATCCAGTATGAACCGCAGATCCGCACAGGCGGGAAACCCACCTGAAAGACACTGTCATTTCAACCACGCACTCCAGGATGACCAGAGCGTAGGGGAAGGAGGCCGGCCCTGCCAGCCCCGATCTCCCCCCCTCCTAAGGAGGAGGAACGACCCAATGCCACCGCAGGCTGAAGGAAATGACCCAAAATGCCCACGAATCGTGGGACCAGGTGAGAGCAAACAGCCCGAGCCTCCCTCCTATCGCCCTGTCAACGGGGTGAACTGTGAAAGGGATGTCCGCGAACCGCAAAAGGGCCGACGACCCCTATAAGAGCCCAACCGACACTCAAGAGTAATCACTGCACCGACCAGATGCCGACGGCTCCACAGGAGGGGCTGGTCCTGAATCTGACATTATATACTTCTCAATTATATACAAGTTGTCTCTATAGACCATTGCTCCTCGCCCCTCTCTGAGGGGGTCAGGTTCTGGCTTTGGTCCCCCGGTAGGCCTAGAACTTCATCGATTGACTGTTGCCATGGTCTAATACATGCACATCAGCCCGGTATAGCTCCAGGGAGCCGAACGGGCTCTCCACAGAAGAGGAGGCAAACAATGAAATTGTTCACAAAGAATTCAAGCACGGCTGTGGTCGTCATTATGCAGGATACACTTGTAAACATACTGAGAGTGTCGCGCTCGTTCAACCCATATGCATACGAACAGACGTCGTCTTCCAGGTAAACCGTCGTACACCAATTCAAATTTTACGATGAATTTGACATCATATACCAAAAAATTCGTACTCTAGGGCAGTTATCACCTGAGGTTCCACTGTACTGTGATGCCTGAACAAAGGAGATACATATCCTATAAAAATTAAACTAGATAATGCAACATTATATTCATATCTGTATTCCAAAACTTTAAATTTAAATTATCCACAAGACTAGTATAGTATTCATGTACCTTTCTCCATGAAGTGCGGAGGCACCGCTGGGGGGATGTCTGCATCACTCGTGGGTGGTGGAGGAAGAGGAGGAGAAGAAGCACCAGATGATCGACTGTTGTACTCTTGCTCACTGATAACTCCAGAAGAAGCAGGGGAGGGGGGTGCTATATGTCATGGAAAGGCGTAAAGACAAAAGGGAAATAATTAGTCATCAGCAGGTATTGAAGATACTGAAAATAATCATTCCAATTCAACAAGATAAATTGATTATAGTACACTTAATATTTGTAACTAAGTAACTCCACATACAAATTTAAATAATTTTTAATACTGTAATTATAGTTAGTTCACATCTTGGGGAATCTTGCTTGGTATGACAATACCTCATCACATTAGTGTACAAATTTAAGAGTGAAATAAAAAAAGCATAAAGAAAACAGGTTAGTATCCAAAAATGTCAAAAGTGGTAAAAGCTATCGGGTTTCCATTTAAGTGATTACTCACTCATGTTATAAGCATTGAGAGGTCAAATTTGGCAGTCCTGTTGCCAGTTAAACAACACTAAAGCCTTACAGAAAATTTTCTTGTCATTAGTATATTGTTATATATTTTGTATATTAGATGAACAGGAAAACATATAATGTACTTTGACAATACAGTATTCTTATTTGCATGCTTCTCTGACAATCCATAAATACCTTAAGTCTTTTCAACACAAATGGTTTAATTATTTACATTACACTACTCATGCTAGACCATAATAATACCAGCATTTTAAATCTTTAGTTTGGATATAAAGCTAAATACCGACAGAGAAATTATCCTTACCCAAAACAACTCTTACATTCAATGCTGACTGAAGAATTAAACCATATTTGATAATTGTTTAAATTGTGGCATTACACCCACACTATGGGTGGAGAAGCTGCAGTGCAAGCTGCAGTGCTTCACAACAGTAAAATGATTTGTAGTTCATGACAAGCATTAAATTAAAATGTGTGTTTTATATTACATTTTGAATAATTATGGCACCAAAAATTGCCAAATAAAAAATAAATTCCATTTATTTATTAAGAAGGAATATTTATTTGAAGGAATAAAAAATTATTCCTTCAAATAATTACATTACCCAAATTATACTCTAAGCCCTAAATTACTTTTTAATAATCATATAAATTAATTTCAGAACTGTATGTCAAAGAATATTAGTGCCCAAAACAACGAAAAGACAAAAATTAGATAACAAATAATGTAAGTTATACAGTACACACAATGTTCAGTCTACTGTTCTCTATACTGATGGTTTTAAATTCTAGCTTCTAGGTCTGCCTATTGACAGTTTTGAATTGTGTTTTTTTTTCCTTCTGTCGGGAGCCCCATTGGCGCCCTGAAGCTAGCTTACTGATTAAGTGCCATACTATGCCTAAACGCCGTAGTATGCATCTATGCCTAAATCTGTGTTCTCTTGAGCACAGGCAGGAGAGATACATAATAATTTACACACGGAAAATAGTAAAGGGCCTGGTCCCAAACCTGCACACAGAAATAACATCACACGAGACCAGAAAGCATGGCAAGATGTGCAGAATACCCCTGATGAGGAGCAGAGATACAATAGGTACTCAGAGAGAGAACTATCAACATCAGAGGCCCGAGACTGTTCAACATACATACATACATTATTTTATATATATATATATATATATATATATATATATATATATATATATATATATATATATATATATGTCGTACCTAGTAGCCAGAACGCACTTCTCAGCCTACTATGCAAGACCCGATTTGCCTAGTAAGCCAAGTTTTCATGAATTAATTGTTTTTTGACTACCTAACCTACCTAACCTAACCTAACCTAACTTTTTCGGCTACCTAACCTAACCTAACCTATAGAGATAGGTTAGGTTAGGTTAGGTAGGGTTGGTTAGGTTCGGTCATATATCTACATTAATTTTAACTGCAATAAAAAAAATTGACCTCATACATAATGAAATGGGTAGCTTTATCATTTCATAAGAAAAAAATTAGAGAAAATATGTTATTTCAGGAAAACTTGGCTTATTAGGCAAATCGGGCCTTGCATAGTAGGCCGAGAAGTGCGTTCTGGCTATTAGGTACGACATATATATATATATATATATATATATAATATAATATATATATATATATAATATATATATATATATATATATATATATATATATATATATATATATATATATATATATATATATATATGTCGTACCTAGTAGCCAGAACGCACTTCTCAGCCTACTATGCAAGGCCTGATTTGCCTAATAAGCCAAGTTTTCCTGAATTAATATATTTTCTCTATTTTTTTTCTTATGAAATGATAAAGCTACCCATTTCATTACGTATGAGGTAAAAAAAAATTATTGGAGTTAAAATTAACGAAGATATACGACCGAACCTAACCAACCCTACCTAACCTAACCTATCTTTATAGGTTAGGTTAGGTTAGGTAGTTGAAAAAGTTAGGTTAGGTTAGGTTAGGTAGGTTAGGTGGTCGAAAAATCATTAATTCATGAAAACTTGGCTTATTAGGCAAATCGGGCCTTGCATAGTAGGCTGAGAAGTGCATTCTGGCTACTAGGTACGACATTATATATATATATATATATATATATATATATATATATATATATATATATATTAGATAAGAAACCTTGTGTTGAGCTAGTATCAACCAGCCTACTAGGCATTGTCTCGTATCGCCTGCAACGGGTGTGAGAAACGAGTCGAGTAAATCAAGAAAGCTAGTTGTCGGTACAGCTGTCTGTAAGACTCTTGTATTTGTCACTGCAGTGTATGTGTTAAGCACCCACCACACATTGTTATACTGATTGCCCACTATACAGTATGGTTTTAGTAATACAGTACTGTACTGATTCATTTATGTGATTTTCATGTGTGTTTTTCTATCTCTTTCCAGGGAACCAGTGAAAGAGTAATTTTTTTGAGTACTGTGTCTGGGTGACACGTATGAGTATTATTGTTACTCATTGTGGATCCAGGAAGTTACGAAGGACCACAGGGACCCTAATGACTACAGTGAGCAGCTACCACGCATGTCCTAGCTGCACACTGATGTTGTCAAACATTAAAGCGACTGCAAACTCTCAGAACTGCCATTCAATATTAAACTCAGTGGCCATTCTCTTCAATTAACAAAGACAAGAGTAGGAAAGAATATACAATTCTAATTTTCAGATGCTTCGAGTTGCTACCATGCTGTTCTACATCTATAAATATCACAATGAAAATATGCTAAAAAAATTAAATTTTAAAATAAACAGTTAAAGTCAAAGAGTAAGCATGCAAACTTCATCAGACCATCTGCAATCTTCCATGTTACTTAAATAATCTTATTAATACCATGCAATATTTTTATTCTAAAAAAATTTTCACACTAAAACAACTTAGAATTTAGACACTAAAGTCTGAAGTATGCTACTGTATTAAAGCATTTTCTCAGTATTTTTCAATTCATGAAATAATTGAGGGTAAAGTATTAAAGAGAGAAAGTGCAAGAGAATTTTCCATACCAAAAATCCAGGTTTGAATGTAATGAAACACCTCTTTCTGTCTTTCTGGTAGATCCCCGGTGGGTTCGTGAAGCTATCTTGCTAAGATGGCTTCACGTTACCAGGTCACATCATTCATAGGAGTCTTGTTTGGCTTACCTGAGAACAGAACCAGAATCTGGCCCACATCACACACACGGAGACAGCAGGTGGACGATTAGTGTCACCAGACACCGGGAAAGTGTCCAGAAAGTCAGCAAAGCAATACAGACAATTGTAGGGGTCGTAGAAAATGAAGCACTGAAACAGAAACAATTCCACAAACAATTTATTCGAAGCAAATGGTTCACTCTAAACTAGCTCAAACTCCTAAGTGCAAATGTCCACCAACAGAGTTCCAATCAGAGCTCCCAGCTATCTGCCAGCTCCAGGTTAGTATTGAGCTGATAAACTATGAACTGATGAACCTGGTAGGGAAAGACTCCCTGGTCACCAGGGCTCGTTACTGGAAATGCTCGTTAATAGAGCCGCTCGTTAATCGAGGTTCCACTGTACTCAAATATCAGTACTATGTGGTCACGTATTCCCAAGGAGACTTCCAACTTAACTTTCCTTGTACTGAACTCATTCAGGGTATTCTGCACCCAATGCCTAGGATAAGAAGGCATCGTCCCAAAGAGAAGGATTTGGAGCTAATTATATGTTGGGAAACTGAAGGCTTTGCATCCAGTGCGAAGGACTAGCCCAACTGCCTTCACTGTTGAAGTGGATAGGACCACACCTAAAAGTAGCCAAGCTACCTAGCAATAGAGGTAAACCCTGACTTTTAGGGGTCACAGCTAAATCCACAGCCAAGCCCTGACCTGAAGAGTCACAGCTAAATCCCCAACTAAACCCTGACTGGAAGAGTTTAATAGTGCAAGTGTGCTATGATGAGCCCTTATGGAAGGGTCATCCTAGAGCTACACACATGGAGCTCAAAGCAAATAAAGTGCCAAGTTCATGCAAGAGTGCCAGTAGATAAATATATCCTTGAGAAGCAAATATTAAAGTTTTGGAATGATAAACGAACCAAATGGTCCCCCCTCCCCCAAAGAATGAAGTCCAAATGATAGCCAACACCTAGCTAAGAAAGAAGTGGGACTCAGTATGAAGAGGTGGCCCAAGAAACTTTACACATTGCCATCCCTTTACACATTATCACATCAGCAACTGGGCTGATCGGGGGCCAGCTGGAATCCCATCTGTTGGCAGCCATTTGTACTTGGGGGTTCAAGCTAGTTTCAAGTGAACCATTTGTTTTGAATGAATCATTTGCAGTTGCTAAGCTGTTTCAGTGCTTTGTTTTCTATGAACTTTGCAGTTATCTGTATTGGGGCCAGGTTCTGGCTTCTGGTCTCCAGTAGGCCCAACAAGACTCCTATGGATGATGTGACCCTGCGAGATAGTTTCCGAGAGCCACCAAGGAGCTCACCCCAGAAATCATATTAACATATCCAAAAAGATCCTTGGTAGCATTCATATAAACTTTTAATATTATTGAAATCTAATTGCCATGAGGCAGCAATAACTTCAGAAATGTACCATAACGTGACACTAAATGCATACAAATCACTTCTACACACAGACTTAATTATTTCAGGAATATTACACGTGTTATACTCAATTGGTGATGTAGAAAGTGAACAGCCTATACATTCAGCTATCAGTGTGTCTCACACAACTCAGGATCATAAAAACTACACCAAAATACCACATGCATTTTGAAACAAGCATTGTCCGAGCTAAGCTGGCACCGGACCAGGTTACTAGACTAGTCACCTAAGACCAGCTCGTTGGCCTTGTTTGACAGGCTCTTGTTAGTGAGGTTCTTTGGCAAAGTCATGGCAGGTCGTATCAGGGTAGGATAGCCTGGTGAGCATGTGTGTGGAGAGATGCATTAAAATATTATCTCTCAACAGGGGGCATTCAACTAATCTGGGTTAACTTAGGTTAGTAACACAGGTTGTTCCATCACCTAACAACCTCAATTAAAGATACCAGTTTTCATCAAGTGCACTATCAATTAACAGTTCTTTGGAATTGCATACAGCACAAATAAATATGTGAAGTAATCATGATTTACACATTGAATTTCTTAACAAATTTGTCTACATAAGTGAAAATCCTAAATTTTAATACCATGATGAGATATAAACACAGACCCTGTAGTTGCTGAAATTAAGCTATGGGATATAAAAATCCAGTACCGAATGTAATGTAACACCTCTTTCTAGTGGGTCCCCTTGGTGGCTCCCCAAGCTACCTTCTTGGATAGCTCCAAACGAAGCACATTCCACTAGGCCTCTGTGAGTAACAAGTGCCTACCAGTGACTAGCAGCAAAACCTGGTCCCCTTAATAGAAGCAAAGAAGTCTGGGGATACCCGATCATCCCAGGCCAAGAGGAATAAAAAAAAGGTTAAGTGCAATGAAATGCCTCATTCTGGTGGGTTTTCAGCGGCTCCCTGTTGCAAGCCAATGGGTTAGCTCCAAATTTCTTCACACCAGTCATATCGTCACACCAGGTCCTTGCAAATCATCAAAAGCAATACAGTATGGAGACCAGAGGGCAAAACCCAGACCCCCCCTCACAGAGGTAAAGAGAAGGGGGCGATTAATTATCACCCTAATCAAGAAATAAGCAACCAGAAAGGTAGAGTAAAACAAAGCAGACAACAAGGCATATATAAACAGCTCATAAAATGAGACACCCAGTAATTGGGTCATTCACTGGTAGCAAGTGACTACCACAGAGTGGTAGACGATTGGAACAAGTTAGGTGAGAAGGTGGTGGAGGCCAAGACCGTCAGTAGTTTCAAAGCGTTATATGACAAAGAGTGCTGGGAAGACGAGACACCACGAGCGTAGCTCTCATCCTGTAACTACACTTAGGTAATTACACTAGGCAGCAGCACCTGGGAGGCTCCCAGATCAGCCAGTGGAGGCCCTCAGTTATGAACCGACCAAAGGCAACAAACTGACACACCTGAAAGGAAAAGGGAGGGTCCAGGGAGGCACCGAGGACCTATCAGAAAGCGGCATTTCATTACATTCAATACTGGTTAATGTTTCACACATCTTTTTTCCCCTGAAAACACAATTAGGTGAATACAACTAGGTGAATACATAGCAATGAACCTAGAATGATTAGAACCATGGTCAAGCCACCAGCAAAACCACCTACCAGCAAATGTAAACAGCCTGGAAGTACTAGGGGCTGCAGCCAATCTGGAGAGAAAACATGAAGCCCATGTTGTAAGGAAGGAGTCCTTTTTGGAAAAATATGTTAGTGGTGATATTTACTGTAATTACTTAAGTGTAATTACCTAGTGTAGTTACAGGTTGAGAGCCAAACTCATTGTGTCCCATCTTCCCAGTACTCTGTCATAACACTTAGTAACTACTGACAGTTTTGTCCACCACCACCACCTCACTTAACTTATTCCAACTCTCTACCACTCTGTTTACAAAAAAGAAAACTTTCTTGTACTTTTTTGGCACCTTTTTTTTCCTTAGCTTGAATCTGTGTGCTTTGTTCTTGAAGTTGCTGATTTCAGGAATTCCTCTTTGTCAATTTGGTCGATTCCTGTTATTATTTTTTAAGTAGTGATGTATCACTGGTATGTTTGGGAGTTTGGCCTCTTCCTATATTGATTCCATTTTTGTGTCATTTGGTCTGGCCCTCTAGCAATTTCTGTTGAACCAATCCTGTTTCCTAGTTCTGTAACTTTGCTTTGGTATACATTTTTTGTACCTTTATCATACATTTCACAAAACTTGACATACATCTCACTTATTTCCCTGTCTAACAGCAAGTCTTTTCAGTCAAATTCTTTAAAGAAATTTCCAAGTTCCTCATAATGTCCTCTCCTGAAATCAGGTTTTTCAACTGCTTCAACTTCCTCATTTTCTTCTAGATTATAATGTATAGCATACTTTATTCCCAAAAAAGACATGGTCACTTTTACCCAAGGGAGGAAGGTAATGAATATCAAATATTTCTTCCTCTTTCCTGGTGAATATCAAATCCAGTATGGAGGGAACATCCCCTACCTTCATCCTTGTAGATTGTTTAAAATGTTGATACAGTACATGAATGTTTCCAGGATGAGGTTTACAAATCTACATGTCCAAAAGTCCTCTGTTCTAGTTTCACATGCCTCCCAGTCTATGGATTTCAAGTTGAAGCCGCAGACTACCAACAGTCGTGATCTATCTTTATCCACTCTCGCTATAATCTCTCATTATTGTTATAGTCTATAACAATGTTATAAACAATAAGTTTATAACAAAGTCCCTCTCGTTTATTATCCAGCTCCTCCTCTGTGATAATCAATCAATGAAACATCCAAGGAGAACACGAGTCGTGTCTTGTATACTTCAGGGTCAACATAGTCAGCATCATGTGCTGACAGGATGCCAGATAACATGGCCATTGCACAACCTCTGACAGCCCCTCCACCCAGTAAAAAGTTACACATGTATTTATATATATATATATATTTAAGTTTTTCTTATTTTTTTAATATTTAACAAGTCTATAATGAAAAATTATTTTTGGGATTTTTAAATTTGTTTGCGCATAGGCAGATATGACTATTTTTCAATAACCATACATTTAGAATTAAAAAGTACAGGAGGCTCTTGTCTCTACATCCCACAAATATTTCCACAGTAAAGCATAAGCAACACTGTTGGATAAGTTTAAACAGTACATTACATACAAATAAAATTGATAATTCAGCTAGAAGCTAACAAAAATAGTATACATAAATAAAAAGAAGACATACGTGGCATGCCCATAGGGTGAGAGGCATATTGAGGAGGCTCCTGCATGTGTGGCGGCGGTGGTGGGGGTGTGTAGGATCCCTGTGGCACAATGTGGGTCATAGGGTGCACTGTTCCCACCTGTGGAGGTGGAGCTGGGCTGCCACTTCCATTGTGGTTCATGGGAGCCACATGTGCAGCAGACTGGTGCGGAAGCGTACTGTACCCACTTGAGCGGTCATTACGGCGAGGGTGGCCAATTGGGTAATTGGGTGCATAGTTACTGGGCACCTGCAATAGAGGGAAAAGTGTTAATAAAATCAAATATAAAACCAGCGTTGAATTTAATGAAACGCCATTTTTTAAGCGAGTCCCGGAGGCTCCCTGGAGCTACTGGACTGATATTAGCTATATTAGTCTGGGGCTTCAGTTATATAGAGTTGTCTGCCTACTAGGAACCACTAGCCAGAACATGGTTCCCTCAGAGAGGCGAAGGGAGCAATGGCCTGTGAACTCTCCACTGTTTAGGAGTATATTCATGTCTGCCATCGACAAGGGTTGGGCACCCAGAGGTAGGCGCCCCAAAAAGACACCAAATGGTAGAAAATTGCAACCCGAGCCCAAAACAGAGGCTATAAACTCTATAAAAGCCAAACCCAATCCAGTGGATAAACCAGCACGGCGAAGTTCAAACTCCCACACAGCTGCTCGAGCAACCACTGAGTGACCCAGGACCCCCCTCAAGAACAGCCAAAGACTGCTCTTTAGGGGAGTCAACCTCATAATGCAGCCAATATAGGGAAGAAACAAACTCAAAAGAGGTATATTCCAGGTCATGCAGGAGTTGAGCACAGAGAGCATCCCAAGCCTCCACCAGGATAAGTGAGGCCAGAAGTTCCTTGGATTTGTCCAGAGGACAAATCCAAGGAACCCAAAGACATGGAAACGAACTCTGGGGAGAGCCAAACACCCATCAAACTCTCACAGGGAAGGTGGATACAAAAGCCATGTACTAAGCAACATAAGACCCTCTGCAGAAAGAACAAGAGATCATGAGGTATCAAACAGGACTCAAGGGCTCATGTCAGACTCCCCCCGAAGCTCCGGGAACCCTAACAGAGCCAACATCCATGCTCTCCGCTCGAGAAAGAGAAGAAGAATTCAAGGGAAAGGCTTCGAAGGTAGGTGATGGCTGAAAAGAAGACCCAGAAGCCCCAGCAGAATCAACCAAACCCGAGAGGGTGCATCAGGCCTAAAGGTGAAGGAAGGAGAAGTTGCAGAAAGAACCACAGTTGAATTAACAAACCTCCAAATTCGAGTCCCTAAACAGCAAGTGGGATAGCTCTAGGGAATCCAACTGGGCACACAACATAGACCACTGTAAAACAGAAAATTGTAAGCGTAGCGCGGTAACTGCCGGATAATCTTACACATTGTCACAAGGGTGTGTTAGATGAGAAACGTGAAAAGAACAAGTCCCACATAGCTCGGGGTTGAAGGAGTCACTAACCCAGCAGGCAGCATGGCGGAGGCAGAAGTTATGAGCATCACCTTGTAACACAGATGATGCACATCCCTCAAACTCGCATGGGCAAGAGCAGATTCAGCATGGATATATATAAGACCGCTGAACCCACAGGGCTTTTTCCAGGGTTTGCAGGGAATAAGCCCTACAGACAGCCCAAGCACTGGGATCGTTATGCTGGAACCCCAGTATGGAGTAGGAACAGGTTCTCCTGAGAAAAGAAGGGAAGTCTTCATGGAACAAAAGGGAATAAAAAGGATGGACACAGAAATGAGTACAAGTAGACTGACCCAGCTCACCAGAGACCGAGACGGCTGACCTCGGCAATCCCCAATGTATCTTGCCAGCCAAAATCTGCTCCAATCCCAGGGAAGACCTAAAGCCAAAAACAAACTGACTTACCTAGGGCAAGGACCACAACAAGTGAAGAAACCCTCTAAGGGAGCAAACCCCAAACATTCCAGTGAAGAGAACCCTGACAGCGCAAGGGCAGCGCGAGGAAACACACACCGAAGAAAACCCCATGCACAAGCAGCTCCAAGCACCCTATATGCCTGGCTCACAGAGCACAAACATGTGTTGGAACAGCCACAAAGGCAATAAACCACCACTTAGCTGAAGGCAGGAAACTTGAGCTAGAGCGACAGACAACAGCCAGTTAAGTACTAGATACCCATCAGCAAGAACTGAGGGTGGAGCGACCAACTGGCCTGGTCTGCCTCTCTTCCCCCCCCCCCCAAACAAGTGAGGAGGTGGGGCTAGCACTAGTTTCATGTTTTCGATCGAGTTTTCGATTTGAGTTTTTGATCATTTATTTACATTTTTGAGGTTCTTTTAGCAATTTTGAGGTAAATATTTTTTTATAACCAGCAGTGGTCCGTTTTATTTTGCTAACTCTGTGGGTGCTTACCCAGTGGTGGCAGACATGATTAAAATTCACTGACAATTATATCATAGTGCCACCGCTCTCTGCACCTCATTAGAGGGGGAGGCCCCTGGCTCATGGTCCCTGGTAGGCTTAAAAGAACTCCTTGAATGATGGCACCTAGTAGTTTCGCACCAAAAAAAATTGAGCAATTAATATAAAAATGCAGTAAAGTCATGAAGACAAACCTGAGGTGGAGCAACTGCAGGGGGTGTACGATATTCGCGCGAGCCACGAGAGAGACTGCTGACTGATCTGTTTGCCTGAGGTGGAGTGGGAGGCTTAGTTGTGGGTGCTGGTCCAGCTGATGTTGGTGGCTGTTGGTGGGCTGGAGGTGGTGGCATCCCCACACTGCTGGTGGATCGTCGAGACCGAGGCGTACTACTTGATGATGAGCGTATCCCATGGCCAACATCATCTAAACCTGTACAGATATTTTTTTTTTTTTTTTTACACAGGTGGGTATAGGAACACAGGAACAGACAACTGCTGACTTCTATTAGCAGGCTGAGAGCTTTCCCTTCCCACAGCTCATGGTAAGCCTTACTCACTAGATGCCCCTGGAATATATCCTGCCAATCGTTTAACAACCAGGGGCCATATTCACAAAGCAGTTATGCAAGCACTTACAAACCTGTACATCTTTTCTCAATCTTTGGTGGCTTTGTTTACAATTATTTAACAGTTAATGAGCTCCGAAGCACCAGGAGGTTGTTTATAACAATAACAGTTGATTGGGAAATTTTCATGCTCGTAAACTGTTTAATGAATGTAACCAAAGCCATCGAAGATTGAGGAAAGATGTACTGTACATGTTCGCAAGTACTTGCGTAACTGCTTTGTGAATCTGACCCCATGTACTCAACCACTGCTGGGTGAACAGAAGCACACAGTTAAGGATTGACACCTAGTCAGTCCTCCCCAAAAAGGATATGAACCCAGGCCAAAACACTTGCAGAGCATGGGGCGAGTTTGTTACTGTTTGTTAAAATTATAAAATAATTATTTTAATATTAATGAGATTGGAAGTACAAATTCAGGCTTTCCAAACTCATACATATGAAAGAGTACACATGCACAAAGATGTATTTCCTAACATGAATAGTAAAATTTATTTATAACATGTCAAAGACAATTACTTACTTGTGAAGTCAATTGGTTTCCTTACATACTTAATTGGCTTCTCAGTATTTGCTGGAGCCAAGATCTTGTATTGTCGAGCAGTCGTCTTGTTCGTCGTCAGGACGCCAATCTCTCTTCGAGCAACTTTCTCTTTGTGTACCATCACCATCTGCATTATAAAATAAAGCAGTGTTCAAAACACTTACTGGCATGGCCTTGGTGGTTCTCTGAAGCCATCTCTCACTGAGACGGCTCTCCCCTACAGAGATTCAAAAAAACTTAGTGAATTTTGAACAAGTACTATTACAGCAATAAGCATTTATTGTGGACACATTACCGACACATTTTATCACGGTTCCATGGAACATTATGAATGTTCTAATGTATACATCTTGTAAAGGACACAAATATGCATCATATATGATAAAAAACAAAAAAACAAAACCTCATTAGAAATAAATAGAACAAATGATTGAAAATATATTTGTGGCAACTCGCTGTGCTTCAATGGCCCGCACGACCGACTCTGGGAGCTTCACGCACGGGCGTACAGCCAATGATGACATCACACACCCCCTTCTCCACGTCCCCACAGCCAAAGTAAGTGGAATTTTTTTTTTTTTTTTTTTTAATGTACATGTTCAGGGAAAGGAATTTATCATTTTACAAAGATAAAAAAAAAAAAAATTGCAAATGCTTTATTTTCAGCGCACAGGGGGAATGTCTCAATAAACACGACGCATCACAGTGGCTAAGGAGTAACCAAGTGGAAAAACTCAGGTTAAAATTATAACTATATAGCAGACAAGTTCATTCTATTAACTGTAAACACTATACTGTAATCAAAAGCTAAGGATGTGAAACACTAACATTGCCTCTTTATAACACCAACCTGAGAGATATAGTTGACTTGACTCTCCATTTCAGCCAACTGGTGTGCTTGTTGTTCAACCATTTGCAGAAAGTTGTAAGCAAGTGTGTTAATCTGGTAGGCCACACTTGCAAGTGACTGTGTTGTATAGTTCTTTGTCTCCTCCAATGCACTGGCTTTATTCTCTGCCTGCAAAAAAAAAAAAATTAGTGTTGAATATAATGAAACACTATTTTCTGGGTGAGCCCCGGAGGCTCCCTGGAGCTATAGGACTGATATTAGCTATATTAGTCTGGGGCTGCTTCAGTTATGTGGAGTTGTCTGCCTACCGGAAACCACGAGCCAGAACCTGGTTCCATCAGAGAGGCGAAGGGAACAATGGCCTATGAACTCTCCACTCTTTTGAGAATACAGTACAGTATACACATGTGCCATAGACTGGGGTTAGGCACCCAGAGAGATAGGCACCCCAAAACAGACTCTAACTGGTAGAAAATTGCAACCGGAGACCGAAACAGAGGCTAGAAACACCCTCCCCCCCAAAAGAAAAAACAAGGAAACAAGCAAATCATCAACAACTTGATGAGCCGCTTGTTCGCGCTGCCCTACCCCTTGGGAGGGGGAGGGGGAAGCCCCAGCTCCACCGATCTGGCCTTCTGCCCACCAGTTTGGAGACTGAGCAAATGGAAGAAGAAACCAATGACTCTAGAGAGGCAAGGTGCCAGGGAACCTCTGAGGCTCATCCAGAAAATGGCATTTCATTACAATCAATGCTGGTTTTCTGAGGGGAGCCCCGTTGGTTTCCTGGAGCTAGCTTCCCAAAGATAAGTAAAGAAGGGACTTACCCGGGAGGCAGCAGCACTGCACGTCTCATGACCTAGACGGGACAACTGGCTGCAACCGACAACCCAAGGTCACACAAGACCGCTGAGGGTCAAGAACGTTAACGACAAAGTGTGTCCAGGACCCTGTACGACCTCCAAGACCTCCGTGCCTAAAAGTCAGCCCAAGACATGTTCCAAAACAAAGCAGCAAGAGCCGCAAACTTCCAAACATCATGAGCACAAGGATAGATCGCAGGCTGGCTAGACTTAATAATCCTGCGGACAACCTGAGAGACCCGAGCCCTAGAACAGGGAATAAGGAATATCAGATCAATCCAAAGCGCATCCCCGGACACAGAACCCAAGGCATGCAGGTAACAGCGTAAAGCCACAACCGAACACAAAACATGATGCACCCCGGCCTGACCAACTAAGAATCAATAACCCATGGACCCCTCCAGAAGCCCATGGTCTCATTGTTCGCCAGAAAAGAAGAAGACTGCTGCAAACGAACAAAATGTCCACCAGGACCAAAAGAGCAGAAGCCAAGGGGGAGCCAGTTCTTGAAAGATAAAATCCCAAATATGAATCCATTTCAACAGTGTTATATTGTGAAGGAACATAAGTTCATTTCATGATGCATAGATGCAGGAAACAATGGCTGTGTGCTGTGTTTGTACCTCATGCTGTGAATATCATAACTAGCATTGTATTCACTGATATCTGAATGCTGTATATAGTCTTTATCAATCAGGATCATCTATGACACTATCAACACAAAATAATTTCAGTTACCTATTTTAATCATTACCAAGTGGTGCTGTGGTCCCTAGTTGCACAGCGGTGCTGTGAGCTGCTCCTGCATGTGCCATCCTTAGTCGCTCTTTCAGTACTAAGGCTTTCACAGCCAGCACAGATGCTGATTTTTTCACGATGGCGTCTGTTTACTGGAGTCCTGAGGCACAGGATGTGAGCCGTGTACCCGCATGAGTTTTGAATTGCTCCCTATACCCAATAGCTCCACATGACGCTCTGCGCACCCCGATCGGGCACCTTAACCACCGCGCTGCGTGGTCTTAAAATATGACATTCCCGCTGTGCACCAAAAATAAATTGTTTGCAAAAAAATTATTTTTTCTTTTTATAATTTTAAAATGGAGTTTCTGATGAAGAGAAACTTAAATAAAAATATTGTTTGTGACATATTTTATCTGTGATGGTGTTGGGAAGTTGAGCAAACTATGGGTGCCGAGTGATGGAGCACTCGGGGGTCACTCGACCCCGCCGCCCCATGGGGGCAGCAGTTGCCTCGAATATAATGTTTCACAATTATGTTGATATTTCTCATTCATTTCTTCTCTGTTTTTTTGCTGTAATATTATTGAAAAGTGTGTAATTTGTGGAATTTATATACTTTACTGGTAGTTCAATGTGTGAAACATTGCTATGCTCAAAATTATGGGGCTCATATGTGTGACTTATACAGTATTATATTCTACAATAAATTAGTGTTTTTGCTGTTATTACACTATTTACATACATTGTATATACCTATCTACATATGTGTCCACCATAACAAACCACTAATTTGGTATGGCGAGTCAAAACACTCCCACCATACTGTTACTGTTTTTCTTGCAGTATTTACACTAGTTATACGTAAGTATCTACATGTTTTATTCACCATAATTATACAACTAAGCTGGTATGGTGTCCAAATGGCATAATGGCCACCATACACTGCATGACAAGTCACATAGCAGACAGCAGACGACATACTCACTCACTCCCTCCCTCCCTCCCTCACCAACACCTCTGTCACCAAAATGGCTCCTCCCAACATACTCCTGCTGTTATTACACTCTATATACACACGTTATATGTAAGTATCTACATTTGTGTTCACCACAGGGAACCACTAAGCTGGCATGGCGAGTCCAGACAATAACAGGTTGCCACATACCAGCCAGCAGAAGATGCTACTTCTCCCTCCCTCCCTCCCTCACCAAGAATACTCCTCCCACCATACTATGCACCTGCTTGATACCTGCTTGATGGGGTTCTGGGAGTTCTTCTACTCCCCAAGACCGGCCCAAGGCCAGGCTTGACTTGTGAGAGCTTGGTCCACCAGGCTCTTGCTTGGAGCGACCAGCAGGCCCACATACCCACCACAGCCCTGTTGGTCTGGCACTTTTTTTTTAGAAAACAATCGAGTTTTCTCTTGATGTCCACAGTTGTTCTGGCAACATTTCTCATAGTTGCTGGGAGGACGTTGAACAACCGCGGACCTCTGATGTTTATACAGTGTTCTCTGATTGTGCCTATGGCACCTCTGCTCTTCACGGGTTCTATTCTGCATTTTCTTCCATATCGTTCACTCCAGTATGTTGTTATTTTACTGTGTAGATTTGGGACCTGGCCCTCCAGTATTTTCCATGTGTATATTATTTGGTATCTCTATTGTCTCCTTTCTAGCAAGTACATTTGGAGAGCTTTGAGACGATCCCAATAATTTAGGTGCTTTAGCACGTCTATGAGTGCCGTATATGTTCCCTGTATTCCCTCTATTTCAGCAATCTCTCCACTCTCCCGCTCCACACATCGCAAATTCTCACCACAATCCTGCTATTATCAGAATCCTGGACACTAAATCCTGTAAATTAATAATTTTCCCACATGTCTATCTTGTAAAGGAACATGTGAAGTCGTTTGAAGATTCTTAGATAGACAAAATAATGGCAATGTGCTGTGGCTAGTGCTGTGAACATCTTGAACAGCATTGATTCACTGATATTTGAACATTGTACACAGCTTTTAATCAGTCAGGCTCTTCTATAACACTATCATGCCTAAATAATACCAGTTACATATATATTTTGACATTTTTAGGCGATGCTGTGGTCACAAGCTGAACAACAGTGCTGTGAGCTCATGCTGCATGCACCAACCTTGGTTGCTCACTCAGTACCGAGGCTCTCACACCTGGGAATGTTGCCCACGATTTTTTTTTTAAATGGTGTCTGTTTACTAGAGCCCTGAGGAAGCGGACGTGAACCTTGTGTAGCCGCGGGAGTTTTGAATGCTAGGCTACACCAATGAATGCCCACAGGTGCTCTGCGCGCCCCTGATCTAGTGTCTACAGGCGCTCTGTGCAGTGCGGTTGTTAACCCTTAAACTGCACAACACTTCATATGACGTGTTGAGCAACTGACGCCAAAGTGCGCACCCCTTCATATGACGTTTTGGAGTACCACACAAGATTTAAACGGCCCGCAGCTACACGGGGTTCACATCAGCTTCCTGAGGGTTTCCTTGGTAAACAGATGCCATTTAAAACAAAATCGTAGGTAACATTCCCGGGTGTGAAAGACTCAGTACTGAGAGAGCCACCAAAGCTGGTGCATGCAGCATGAACTCACAGCACTGCTGTTCAGCTTGTGACCACAGCATTACCTAAAAATATATTTGAATGAATATAAAAAATAATTGCACAGTACTGTATACAGGCTACTAGTCAGGAATATTAACCAATAAAACTGCATAAAGGAAGTCATCACACTATGTAACAAAATATAAAACTACTGGCAGGCTTACCCGTGCAAAGTTTTCAATACAGTAGGCAGCTACTTTCTCTAAGTTGGCGTGAGAATCAGAGAGCGACTGCCGTCCCTCTGGGATTTCTTGCTCAACAAGAGATACAAATTCCGAAGATAGAGCCATATTGGAAATGCCTGGTTTATATTATTCTGCAATTATAAAAGAACACACATTAATAACTTAGGTCAATGGCAGTTACTGATTATCTTGTGTATTATCTGATTGAATTCAGATTTCCAGTTAATATTGTGAAATGCATTTCAGAGAGTGCCTATTGCTGCGTCACTGTGTAGTCTGAAGGTACAGTACAGTAATTTTCTTGGTGTCCATGTTTGCTATGAGTAAGGTAGGATCATGGGGTCAGTTAGTGATTATACCAGATGCAAGGGGAGCTGTTATGCTAGTCCAAGGTAGTAGCAGATGTTTGAGTGATTCGGGTTGGCTTGGTGATTGTGGGGATTAGCATACAGGAGTTCATGCCGTTTAGGAAATAACCGACTTGATTATTTTGTTGACATAAATATTGAAGTTATCTCCTAGAATGATATGATTTTTGTTGCGCTTTTTATTTATGATAAGATTCCTTAGGTTATTTGAGAATGCAGTTACATTAGTACAGTATTGGGAAATCTATAGATAACTCTAATAGTTAAGGGGGATTGAAGGGATTTAATCGAGAAGTGAGCAAAGGTATATTCACAGTAGTTGTCTCTATCACTAATGACACTATTGCAAATAAAGGTATTTTGGTAATACTGTAGCTGTGCCGCCTCCTTTTTTTATTTGGCCTACAGTTGTGAATAGCTGTATAACTGGTTAAGTTGTAAAGTTGGGAATGGTCTCGACTCGGCCATGTTTGTTAAAATAATGAACGATAGTTTAGTAACTAGTGCTGTGAGTAGTGCATTTATATCATCAAAATGTTTACCATGTGACCTGACATTTTGGTTGAAAACTGATAGGCAAAACTAATATAGGAAATATCTTTCCTCTATCAATAAGATTTAATCTCTTTGATTAAAAATGCAAAAACTACTTATCTCTGCCTTTTTGATACCATATACAAGTAAAAGTTTTATTTGTGAATCTTTATTAATTAAACACTATCAGAGGGCATGTAGGGTTCTGTGTTTCATGTGCAAAGAGCCACGAGAGATTTTTTACAAGTACAGTACAAGGTAGTTTAAGTAGCAAACACATACCAATAAATAATGATCAGTATCTATGTAACAAATCTATTGTCCTATGGAGCCGATTTAACTTCCAGGCATATATTTTTAAATAAATCTTGTGTTTTCTGGTTAGTTATGTTAGATATTATTAAAAATATGTATTCTACTTTTTAATATCATAAATTAAATTTGCTATAATTTGAGCAGAGTAGTGCGACGACCAGCTCACTGTGTACAGAAAGCTGATATGCAACAAACACTTTTCAGACAACAATATATTTTGGATAAGTCGCTCCACAACATTGTTGCTTGGACCATCAACTTCCTTTGATGCCACATATTAACTTCTTATTTCATTATGAAATTATATTATGTCAGAGTAAAAATGTTTTCTCATGTTCTTCATTCAGTACCAATATTAGTAAGTAAAGATACCATATTTCTTCATTACTTACATAATGCCAGGAGGCTTTGGGTCATTAGATGGACAGCATCTCCAATAGATGAAGCGAGTCACCCCATCTCTCACCCAGGCGAGTCGAAGCTTAATTTAAAATTGATATACAGTATCTTTGTTCTCCACCAGATATATTTCCTTTGGTGCACTCACAATAACGATTATATCTCGGCCTATCTGAAGGCATATACTGTGCTGTAATACTTTAGGCTTTATTAGCTTATCTTTGTTAATTACACAATATATCGGCCTATGTGTGGGCATCTGCACTCCATGAATGACAAGCTACTGAATGCCAATATAAAAACATATGTATCTTCACTTGAGCTTTAAATATGTCTATGTTAAAGTATTTAAAATGAAGCTTATATTTCTATCTTTAAGACATATAAAACATTTATGATTATTAACGAATTTACGTGAAAAAACATTGTTCTGAGAGAGAGAGAGAGTTGCTCTGTCGATCAGTCTGTGCGGGGGTCGGAGCACGGCGATTCTTAAAACATGTATCTTCATTAGAACTTTAAAAATGTCCATGGTAAAGTGTTGAAAATGAAGCTTTTATTTATATCTTTGAGACATATAAAACATTAATGTTTATTAATAAATTTACGTGAAATATACATTGCTCAGAGAGAGTTGCTCCGTAGATCTCCTCCGTCTGTGCAGGGTCAAAGCTCAGCGATTTTAAAATACACATATCTTTGCTTTAATTTCAAATATGCCCATGGTCAGGTATTTAAAATAAAGCTTATATTTTTATCTTTCTTGCAACATATAAAACTCTTGTGTTTATTGACAAATCTGCGTGAAATAAGCAGTTTTGAGATGAATATTGCGGGGGGTCACGAGCTCGACGAACGATGAAAAATAGCACTTTTATACAACTACATACAGTATATATTTGGATTTACTTTAAATATTGTCATGGTAGAGGTTTTACAAATAGAACCTGCTTCTGTCATTCTTCTGTAACAAAGATTTTTGGTTTAATAAGTTATCATGATGTTTTCAACAATATTCTTTGGGCATTCATCTATCCCCACATGGTTGCACATTTTGGAAATCCCAACGCATGGGTTGACCCATCTGATACTTGGTTCAACCTCCAATATGGTTCGCAACATCCCCTTGGAACTGGAGCGACTTATCCTCTTAGACAGATCAAAGACCTGTCATTAAAACCTTCAACATCACTAAGAGCAACAACGCAAACAATCTTATATATTCTGAACACGGCTTTGGTATGTTCATATAAGAGATATAATCAAGTTATCGTTAAATATAGTCATAGAGAATACATGGGAGGGGCAGTCCTGATGCACTCGCCTCCCACGGTAACTTCTGCTCTCAACTCCCGTCTTTATTACCTTCACTTTTACTCTTCCCGTTATCAAGCTTCCTTCTTAATTATCCAGAGCAAGCGTGAACATTACTTAAATACTTACAAAAGTAGAGTGTGAAAGAGACAACAACAAGGGTGGAGGACACTACACCGTTCACATCCGTCAGCTGCGCTTCTCACTTCACATTTCTCAGTCCTCTCTAACCATTCTCATTAATTATTATTGGTGCTAATATTAAACCCTCCAGTAAATACAGACAAAGTATCAAATAATTATACACATAAATATATTTAATAACTTTACCACTATTTTAATTTTTTTATTTGCTTTATGTCAATATTTTCAATATCTAGTAAAATTAAGTTGACTGGATAACAATGGCAACTTTGATTCCCTAGTTGGAGCAAGGTCTTATTTATTTATTATTTGTTTATTTATTATATACAAGAAGGTACATTGGGTTTATGAGAGCCCGTAATATTGGTGTTCTTGCATTCTTGCAAGTTGTTGTTCTTGTTTAAGATTCGCTACTCGGAACAAAAGTTCCAAGTAGCACGGGCTATGATGAGCCCGTGTTCTTGCAAGCCATTAACAAGCATAGCATTTTGGGCAGGTCCTTAGTCAAACAGAGAAGGTAAGATTATTAATTTTGTAACAGGACCTATGGGCACCATATTAAAAACAATTTTTTTTTTGTTTGAGTTGTTACATTCTTGTACGCGTAGCGTTTCAGGCCGGTCCCTGGAATACGATCCCCGCCGCGAAGAATCGTTTTTACAAACCAAGTACTCATTTTACTGTTGAGTTAAACAGAGGCTACAGTTAAGGATTTGCACCCAGTAAATCCTCCCAGGCCAGGATACGAACCCATGACAAAGCGCTCGCGGAACGCCAGGCGAGTGTCTTACCACTACACCATGGTGACTGGTGAAATATGTTGACCAGACCACACACTAGAAGTTGAAGGGACGACGACGTTTCGGTCCGTCCTGGACCATTCTCAAGTCGATTGTCTTGGTGAAATATCTATTTGATATTCCAAGAGTGTGACTTAATCAAACTAGAAATGCTCTGCAAGTCAGTTTTTATTAACAAGCTTAGGTACACACAGCAATGTGCTGCTACCCTATTCTATATGAAAGATTAAGAACACTGCTTTCCCAAAAAAGCGGTGGGTTTTCTGAGGAAAAGAAAACGTATATTTGGAAGCTGACTCTAACCACCCAAGCTGCGCGCGCAACGAGCCGAGGTTATATAAGCCCTGCCTGCAGACGGGGTGGCCCCCTGTCTCGACAAGCAAGCATCTGCTCACTTACAAAACGCTCACCCTCCTCCCGGGATCCTCTGCATCCACTGTTTTCTTTTCAAAGGGACGACGCACAGACAGGCTCAGGGGGCACTTGTTCTAGCTTGCTAAGCATTTGCGGTATCTTTGGGGGTGCTTTGCCGGAACCCCCAAAGTGCTAGGCCTGCAGATAGCTAAGAAATATTACCATGAATTGTAATTAGTGTAAATTCAAATAATGCAACTTTCAATTACTAACTATAAATGTAACTATTAATTGAAATTGATTTAATACTTTATCATTATAATGATTATACATTATAATTATACTCTAATACTTTATTGTTATGCATTAGTCACTAATTATTTATCATTCACCCTAATTAGCTATTTGATTCATTGAAAATAATTGCTTATCATTATACTATTTGTTATTATTATTATATTTATTATATAATAATAATAATTTATTATTTATTATTAATTTATTATTTATTATTAATTTATTATTTATTGCTAATTTATTATTTACTATTATAAAATAAACAAGTCCCCAATCTGAGCGCCTTTTTTTTCTAGCCTCAGACAACAGTGTAGTGTTGACCAGACCACACACTAGAAGGTGAAGGGACGACGACGTTTCGGTCCGTCCTGGACCATTCTCAAGTCGATTACACAGTGTAGATCAAAAACTAGCTGTAAGTTCATCTAATATTCCCATCTCACAGGAAGGTTAGTCATACAAGGAATCAGGGGAGAAAATACTTGCCTCAATACAATAACAAACCTGCAAATCAAGGGTCTCAAAATGTGGACTGACCTTCCCAATCACGTCAAAGACTCCGGCCTCCGTCTCTCAACCAGTTTAAGAGAAAAAGTAAGTACTACCTAATCTGTTGTTGTTGTTATAGATTCAAATACTCTGAACAAGTTCCAAGTAGCACGGGCTATGGTGAGCCCGTAACTTACCTGGCACAGGAGCGGGGCAAGTAGCACGGTCTATGGTGAGCCCGTAATTTACCTGGCACAGTTTTAGTTTAGTTCATTTCTTATGCACCCCATACCCATCTTGTGGGCGGTAGTGGAAAGGGTTACAGAGGCACATAATGGGCTCAGGGGCTGAACTCCACAATTCATTTAGCTAAGCAAGTTACAATCTTGATGAGCTAGTTACAAAATTCAATATAAGTCGTCACATCAACAATGGGTTCGAGATCGACCTCAAGTACAGGTTCTAAATTAAGCAAGTGACATATGTGGAGAGCTAGTGTCACAATTGATATGTTTGTCCTGCACACCGCCCCCCATCCAGTGGGCAGCGGTGGATAGGTTACAATCACTTAGTTATTACCTACAGTTAGCAAACTGGCGATATTTGGCTAAAATTTCTGGTAGCAGATCATTTTGAATGAAATATTTACACATCGCTGGAACATTGGTTATAGAATTGTCTCTAAATTCACGTATCTCTTCGCACTCCATCACATAGTGACGGAGGGTGTGCGAATAATTTTGTTGACACAGTTTACATTTGGTCAGGTCTACATCAGCAGATAATGACAATTCCCAGAGATACTTGTAACCTAGTCTAAGCCGAGCAGTAGTAACATCTAGAAGTCTGCTGATTTTATTGGATGAACCATATATGTGTGGCTCCTCTTGCATGATAGTATGATGATAGATGGAATTACTGGTGTCGATTTCACTTTGCCTCAGATCTACAAGATCTTGTTGAAGTTCTCGGTGTACTGCTGCTCTCAGATTACTCATTGACAATCCAAGGTTACACTCAACGGTTCCTTTAAAGGCAGATTCTTTGGCTAACTTATCAGCTCTATCAAGGAGCGGGGCAAGTAGAACGGGCTATGGTGAGCCCGTAGTGGACTTAACCTGGCACATGAGCGGTGCTGATTTACATACAGTTGGTGATGTGTACTACTACTACTACCTAATCTTTTAATTATTTATATATACAAGAAGGTAAATTGGGTTTATGAAAGTACATAGCAATGATGTTTTTACATTCCTTCAAAACCACTAATATGCATAGCGTTTCGAGCAGGTCCTTGATCTAACAGATAATTTTCAGTAGGTAATTTGTAGTAAAATTTGAAGAATATTAACATATACATTGTAAGAAAAAATTGAGGATTATCAACAGGAACATTGTAGCCTACTTTTTAAGACTATTAATAGGTACACTGTATTAAAATTTGCGTTCAACATAACTGATATAAGTTGATAGCAGTGATTACAATGGTGAAGTTACATTGCTTAGACAGATATATTGTGGGAGTTTGTAGTACAAAATACAGTCCGAGATTGAAGCACTAGGTACGAAACTATGAGGATGAAATTAGGTACTTTTTGGTTTTACTTTTGAATAAGGAATAGGTTGGACAGCTTTTTAATTCGTTTGGGAGTAAGTTCTATAGACCAGTCTTTTATTTGCAGTGTTCGTACAGATTTAGCTTGACTCTGGGGGATATCAAAGATATATTTATTATTGATGCGGTGATTATAGGTACATCTGTCAAGGAAGCGTTTCAGATCAGGATTTGCATTTAGGAGCAAGTTTTGTACACGTAAATAGCACAAGACAATGTGTGGAGTGAGTTTATGTTTAGCATGTTTAGGTATTTAAACAGAGGGGCTGTGTGTTGTCTGAAAACAGAGTTTATTATTGTTCTAATAGCAGATTTTTGCTGGGTAATGATGGGCTGAAGGTAGTTTGCAGTGGTTGAGCCCCATACACAGATACCATTTTATTTGTATGGACAAAAACGGATACATAGAGTTGGGGGACTTGTGACAAATACAAGACAGAACACGACACTGTGGATATTAGTTGGATATGAGAGCATAAGAATGGAAGTAACTGCAGAGGGCCTATTGACCCATACTTCCTCTTGATGCTTCTATATTGGTTCGGAGTCTTGAAGTTTTTTTTTTTTTTTTTTTTTTTTAAACCTAAAAGGGGTACCACCTCTGGTGCAAGTGTAGGTACCCATAGCCTCGGAGAAGAAAATAATGAGTACTCAGAGAAGTACTTTGAGTACTCTGTATATATATATATATATATATATATATATATATATATATATATATATATATATATATATATATATATATATATATATGTCGTACCTAGTAGCCAGAACGCACTTCTCAGCCTACTATGCAAGGCCCGATTTGCCTAATAAGTCAAGTATTCATGAATTAATTGTTTTTCGACTACCTAACCTACCTAACCTAACCTAACATAACTTTTTCGGCCACCTAACCTAACCTAACCTATAGAGATAGGTTAGGTTAGGTTAGGTAGGGTTGGTTAGGTTCGGTCATATATCTACGTTAATTTTATCTCAAATAAAAACAAATTGACCTCATACATAATGAAATGGGTAGCTTTATCATTTCACAAAACAAAAATTTGAGAAAATATATTAATTCAGGAAAACTTGGCTTATTAGGCAAATCTGGCCATGCATAGTAGGCTGAGAAGTGCGTTCTGGCTACTAGGTACGACATATATATATATATATATATATATATATATATATATATATATATATGTCGTACCTAATAGCCAGAACGCACTTCTCAGCCTACTATTCAAGGCCCGATTTGCCTAATAAGCCAAGTTTTCATGAATTAATGTTTTTTCGTCTACCTAACCTACCTAACCTAACCTAACCTAGCTTTTTTTGGCTACCTAACCTAACCTTACCTATAAATATAGGTTAGGTTAGGTTAGGTAGGGTTGGTTAGGTTCGGTCATATATCTACGTTAATTTTAACTCCAATAACAAAAAATTGACCTCATACATAGAGAAAAGGGTTGCTTTATCATTTCATAAGAAAAAAATTATAGTATATTAAATATATTAATTCAGGAAAACTTGGCTTATTAGGCAAATCGAGCCT